GCTCCGGTTCAAGCTCGTGATGCATACCCGCCAGCGAGGTAGCCCTGCCATGACAAATGTGGCACGCCTACCTAGGGAAAGTGCAGCGGGGCCGGCCTGTGATCTACTGCGCCCAAATGCACCGTACGACCACCAGTGGCATACATTGATTCCAAATTCGCGCATATGTACCTGTATTGTACCGTGTAGTATAAAATCCATGTACTACTGAATACAGACCGTGGACAATTATCAACCAATGGTGTGCTTCGAATGAAACAAGCCCTAGACAAATCAGCCCAGAACATGCCCGAGCGAACCCGGTTGCTAACGGCGGCAGTCGACCCAAAACAACAGGCGTAGTTCTGTATCGGAGGCCTTGCACGACCTCATACCGCTCAATCCGAAAAAAGTCGGGAATAGTCCAGATTTCGTAAAGGGCCGTTTTGCCCGACTGTGCACGGCGCAAATCGAATGATATCGAATGATATCGACCGTAACCGTGTCGATTCTCACTGGGGCTGAGTCCTGACGTCGCAGTGCACCTAGTCCGGCCCAATATCACATTCACACAACGTAGAGCAGCTGCCGTGCGACAATCACATCTTTTCAATGCGAATCAGTACATCATTTCTCTGCTACAATTGTTACAGGTTCAGAATATTTCTCGACTACATATCGGAGACTAGATGAGCGTAACACGGTATAGGGCCATGCCGCCGAGCGGGGTCTACTTGTTGCGAGTGAACTGTACGGCTTAAGCGGGGACGAGGACCCACAGCTGATGCGTGTTGGTCGTGGACGGACCGTCGGTCCCCCAGCCATTCACAGCGGTACCGTTAGCGGTACCCCTTCATCCGAAGCCGCTGCAGCGTCAGCACTGCAGAATGCCCCACGAGTGTGAGGTACGTACCCGTTCAACAAGTCAACAACCGCTGTATCAAGACACGTCCATGACTCAATGAATTCCTACAGCACAGAGAGGAAGAGGACGTACTTTTGGTTGAAGAGTTGACTATCCTGTAAGATGCAGCGAGAAGTTTAAGTCACAGCACAAAGAGGGGAAGACAGAGGTGCGGGCGTACATGTAGGCCGTATTGGCTGCGTTGGGCGTGATGGACCACTGTTGGATCGACTTGCCAGACTGCGAATTTCCCACGACAGGTGTTTCGTTCGCGCTTGCGCCTATGCATCCACGTGTGTGATCAGGGAAGGCAAGGAATGCGATGAAGCCCAACGGCGTACCGCCCTTCAGGTCCAAGAACGTGCCACCTTGTGCGTTCTGAATTGTGTACAGCGTGGTGCCTTTGATCTGAGCAATGACCCAAAGCTGCGCGATCGCCGAGGGGTCGGTAAGATCGCGCTTAGCGTAGCCTTGGACCACAGTGCCTAGTGTGAGTGGGAGAGATATCAGCGTGCGGGAGGTAGCGGGAGCATGTATGCGGACCGCTAGAGGAAGAGCCTGTATGCCAGAAGGAACACAGTCAATGACGTAACCAAGGCAGGAGTAGAGAGGATATAGACCTCCAGTGAGGTCCAGGACGCTGAGTGCACCGATATTCTGGATGAAGTCTGTAGCAACGCGCATATGTCAGCGTGCCGTTGGACAAAGAGAAGGGGGAGGAGACACTGACAGACACCGGACTTGACAGTGGTCATTGTGCCGCGTTATGAGTTAGGAGTTAGTCGAGGTGAAAGCAAATGCGAGAGGTGTGGAAAGCTGAGATCTTGTGCCACTGTTGCAGACCCCCTTTATACGACCTGAGAGCTCCTAATCTTCTCGTCACCTGCCCTCGCACATTGAGGGGTCTGCCTTGAGGTGCTGTTACGTCTGGTGGCCGATGATTTCCGCCCAAGCCGCGCTGCTGGCGTGAACATGGAATGAACATGGAATGTGTCCGGAGTTTGAGCACATCTTCTCAACGAACGTAACCTCCGGCAGCAGGGGTCTATCAGTAAGGATCTTCATTACCCCAATTCGTGACCGCCCACAAACACGAGCCTTGCATCTGGAAGCTGGAACCTCTGAGCACGGTACGCCAAGTCATACTTGACCCGAGTAAGGTCAGCATGTGCGTCAACATCCGACCATATCTGCCCATACCAGAGCTATATCAGAGTGATGCAAGTCGAACCAAATGATCAGCTGGCTAAACACCATGACATCTTCAGGCAACTGCTCGGGCGTGCGGCATGTCCTTAGCTTCCAATCCGACGTGTCATCGCAAGGCGTACCGTGGTTACTGTATTGGAGGACCGGAAGGAGATCGGTATTGTCTTCGATGTTCAAGAAGTCCGTCATCTTGTCTGCCGAGCGAGACGATGGAGTCTATATGAGAGCGGGAGTGTCCGGTCTGCTGGGAGGCATCGGCCGTGAGGCCAATGTGCCCATGTCCATGTGCCCAGGAGAATGGACCACGAGGTGTCTTGGCCACATGGCGTCCACTCCCCTCCCAAATCCGCAAACAAAGATGTGTCGAGAACTCGGCACCGAGACTCTGTCTTGATAAAGATGCGTCGTAATCATATACCACCAGGAAAGGGAGGCAATACGAAGAGATGGCCGTGACGCCAGCACGGGTGAACACCGCAGAGGTTGTCACCAATGCACCCGGTTTCCGGGAGAGGCAGTGCGCTGCTCAGGTGGAGGCTTCCAAGGAACGGGCCGCCCGATCAATTGTAGGTGATTTCATCGTAGAGCATGCGTGTCTCAAGCAGCCCGTCAGTTCCCATCCGGAACACCCCCATTAGGGAACGCAACTGCACACCCATCACATAGAACAGGAATACCGCTGAAGTGATTCAGCGCTCCCAAGTAGATGATACCGCTAGACAGCATAGATAGTGAGTAGAGTGCAAGTTGTGTCAGACTGAGCTCGGGGCGCGCCGCACGCCACGTCGTTGTGTAGATCACTGGCGCCCTGCGTGTGATATCCCCAGTGTTGAGTGGGCGCCAAATCATCAATACCACCGTACCGCTAACAACACGTTATCTATTCTCTGGACACAGCTCTGACTATACCGACTAGTTCGGTCTGAGATCACACATTTTTGACCGCCACTCAGGCTCTAGTCCTGCGGGGGTGTAAGAGTAATGAGAACCCATATGCGCTCTTATAATTATCCTTCAATTCACAAGTGGCAATGGACAATATCTCATGACATTGTATCTTGGCATAGTACGACGCACACTGAGTAGACAGCACTCCCTACAAATCTTTATATTTGTTGAAGAACTTCACTGTAGCTTCGAACGAGCCCTCCTTGCCAGCCTTGATCTTCGGGTTGCTCTACAAGGCGCTTCAGCAACCGACAGCCCACAGCTTATTTTATGTTGAGAGACGTACCAGGTCTCCGCGGACGGCGAAGCCGTGCGTGCACCCCTCCCAATACGTACGCTCGTACCCCGGTGCGAACTTTCCGCTGAATATCTCGTCTGCGACCTTCTGCGCCTCCTGAGGGAACGCGTTGTCAACCTCACAGCTGTTAATCAGGAGCGGCGCCTTCGCCTTCTCAAAGTATTCCTGCACGCCACAGTATCAGCCGACCTTTCTCTTCATATAATATCTCCGAGAACGCTTACCTGAAGATCCTCTGGGACCCGGAGTCGCGAAGGGTGCGAGACGACGGAGACCTTGCTCCAGCCCTTGAGCGCGAGTCGCCACACGGGCGGGGCTCCAAAGCAGTAGCCCGTCGTTCCTATCCAGGTCACGCCCTCAGCCTGTAGGGCTTGAACGACGCGATCGACCACGGGCTCCCAGCTCTCGGGCCCGTGCCGAGACATCCACCCCGCGCGGTCGAAGTCAGTGCGGGACAGGGCGTCCTCGGGAAGCGCATCGCCCTGGAAGAGATCGGGCATGATCGTGCGGTAGCCATTCCGCGCGAAGTCATCGACGAGCAGCTGTGGGATAGAGATATAGTCTATGAATGCGTGGAACTTCCAGATGTCGGATGGATGCGGCGCACCTTGTTGTTGACGAGAGGAATCCCGAAAACATCGGTGAAGAAGAGGACGACCTTGTCCTTAGGGTAGTCGCCTGTGGGCGTCGCGGTATAGCATTCTACTCCCGCGATCGTCTCAAATTTGCCTGTATCACCAGACAATGAGCACGAACATCCACAACCATAGCTGCGAACGGGTCATGCAGCGCAGCATGCCGTGAGAGAAGCTACTAACCCTCCGGGGTGCCCTCATGGCGAACACCTGAACACGAGCATCTCAGCACCGTGGCTTTCGCGACTACTGGATCTGCAGACGTACCCTTGAAACAGTTATCGCAGAATCCGTCAGACATATAGGCGAGTTATAAGTGAGCGCGAAGTGTGCTTGGGAACGTTTGGGTGTCCAAGATCCAGCGGCAGTGCTTATATACTCCTCCCGCGCAAGTACAGCGGACACTAAGTTTAGATCCCGCGATCTTGCGTGCGGACGTCTGCGTGGGTGGCGCATCTCGAGAATCCGCGTGCACATCGTCCAAATCCCAGCGTCGTATCTCAAGAGTCGGGTTCCTCCCTCCCAGATATTGTCGATAGACGTTCGAACGTGACAGTGCCGTGGCGACGCGTCCGCTCATGACACAGCCGCGATGTGTCCGCTCGGCGTACTCGTACGCCGAGCTCGCGGTGGATTCTGCTGAACTCTCTTCGGACAGCAGTCCGCTGTACCTCCGCGCTCAAACATCTGGTCGGCCGTCTTCGGACATGCTGACTTGGCGCTGAAACCCACCCTTCGCATCGCACTCCGACAATCTCCGATCGCAAGCTTGGCGTCGGACACGACAGAATTTCGATTGCTAGAGACTTCGAGCGACACTGAACTCGATTAGTATCTTCGGCTGCGCTGGAATATGGTTGTCTTCTGTTCTACACAAGGGATTGCAATCCCCCGTCAACTCGAGAACGTTTACGATTTCACGCAACTGGCTACGTAGCAGACTGCGTGATCACGTATTCACCCAGTCAATTGATGGTGAAGCTCGCCAAGCTCTATGTGTATGCAGCCACGCAGTCATGTACCTGCGCGTCTATTGTAAGTTGTAACTGCTTCGGCAGGAGTTCGGTGAAGGGTAAGGCTCAAGTCTATATATTCTGGAGAGCCCTTGACTCGGAGTAGACTCGTCTTGCGCGCATCAGTAACTAGATATCATGGATACGTGCCGCCACACTGACGAGCCCCCCCTTTTTGATGCCAGCGCACTCTACCTTTCACGTAGATCACCCCCCTCTCTGTACTCCTGTCGTCACATACACGCTCTCCTCACAGATCCCTTAAGCTTGGATATATGCGTTGCGGGCGTCCGTCTGCTCTAGGGACGGGGGAGTTCTTATGGACGGCGGGGGTAGAGACTACAACGAGGTATGCAAACCTCTGGGATATCGGGCCAGGGAGGTATCAAACCTCCCAACCCACGCGGTCTGAGGGATACGCGTCGGTTAGAGTTTCGGTTAGGGTTCGGGTTTGGGTTCGGGTTCGGGTTCGGTTAGGGTTTGGGTTTGGGTTAGGCACTGCTTACACCTCCTCCCCTAAGAAGGGAGGCCGTCTGTATTTATCGCGCGAACGAGGCTTTATGCGAGGGAGGGGAGGGAGTATAAATGGCGGGTCCTCTTCGCGCAGCCCCCATCAAGCGCCACAATGGGAACTTCGATCATCAAAAAGTGCGCGCTGATGCGCCAGCGTCGGTGGTCTTCCGTGTCGCGCGTCCCCCACCCTCCTCGCCCGCCGCGCCTGCACAATGCTCTCCGTCAGTTGGACAACGCTGTCTCCTCAATTGCGACCTCCTCAGAGAAGGAACTGTTCGCTTCTTCGAGCTCCTCAAAGTTTGCTCAAGTACAAACTCAGTCTGTGGCACTGTTCTAGCCATCAAAATCCGATGCGCCCAT